TTGACCTATTAACCATTAAATACCGTCTTAGATAAATATTGACCCAACGCCACCAAATCTTTGCAGTGTCCTAGTTAAAGCATACCCTTCACCTGTGTAGCAGAGCTTTGAATGAAGAACGTAGTTTTTATGTTTAGCGACACATCCAGAAAAATAACGTGACAATTTTCATATTTATAACTTGTGGGGCAGAAACGTCAGAGCGGCCGGCAGGCGGCGCCAAAGCTGCACTACCAGGATACTCCACGGGGGGGAGACAGTCCCACTGCCTCAACGCAGAGACAATGGGACAATAGGACCCCAGCACTGACCGTCAGGTCGGGGTCAGAGGTCAAAGGTCACTGACCCTCCAGATCTCTTAAACTCAGCAGATCAGCCGGTCCAACAGAACCAGAGAAACGACAGGAAGTCACTTCCTCCAGTTGTTTGTGATTGGTGACCGGACCAGAACCAGAACCAAACCGGACCAAACCAGAACCGGACCAGAACCAAACTGGTTGAAAACCAAACCGAACCAGAACAAAGCGCAAACTGGACCAGAACCATGCCAGAACCAAACCGGATACAAATCAGAAGCAGAGCCAAACCGGATCAGAACCAGGCCTTTCCTCAGCAGCTCTTCGCGACGCCTCAGAGAACTGAATTGTGGGATTGAACTGCGGACGGTTTCTGATGCAGCGGCTGTCTTACCTGCGACTCTACGGGAGGCTGAGCATGCCGAACGCACAGAGACCCAGAGACCCAGAGAGCGGCGCAGATCTGCGGGGATTTCCTCTGCGGCAGCCTGGAGGGAGCTGATGGGATTAACCTGAGGCCTCAATCCCTCAGATTATTAACGTCAGAGGAGCAATATGGACAAACTACGGTGGCCTGACAAACTACCAGGACCCCATTTGACGCCTTTCTGAATGAAAAAGTCATTCAGCTTCTGAGAGCTCAGTGTGTTTCTACAGACAACTGGGAGGAAACCCCAGCTGAACTGGGATCAACTGGTTAGAGACGTGAGAATGCAGATTATTCCTGGTCTGGGCTGCAGGAGGAGAACCCAGAGAGAACCCACGCAGGCAAACGGAGTGGTGCAAACTTATGCATGCAGAAAGCCCCAGTCTGGGATTCAAACCCACAACCGCTGCTCCCCGTGCAGCAGATCCCACGGCGCCCCCAGCAGGTCGATCTGAGGAGACGCACTTTGAGAAAGCAAAAGTGTCAATGAAAATAATAAAACTCCGTCGCGCCATATTGAACGATAACAAGATGTTCATGTTTAATTTTCTTTGCTCAAACTGTTGCTTTGAGTTCTGATCTGTAACCGACTGCGATTCGTTTCAGGCTCCAGGCGCGTTGGGTCTCCAAGCAGCAGTTTAAAATCAAACGTGTTTCCTTGACCTGCTGAATCTATTATTCCTTTTTCTGGCTGAATAAATATTTAATGTGGGAAGTGTTTCTGTTTGCATCTGAAGCTGCTTCAGTTTTTCTCCTGGTCTGTTGATCAGATCACCGTCTGTAAAATGTTCCTAACAAAACAAGGCTGTATTCAACCTGAGCTTCCACCGCTCCGACAGGGACAAGATGGAGTCTGGAAAGTTATGCTAAAACATTAGCATTAATATTTTTGAGTTATTTAGCCTGTCAGAGAAAATAAAAAGGGTTTTCATCTTTCATGTTTTCATTGTGTTATTTCTGCATTTATGAGAGTCATGGTTAATAACTAACTATTTAGGTTGCAAATTAAATATTTCATTAGAAAGCTAACTATTTTGTGCATTAACTACATATCTAGTTAACAAGCTAGTGTGCTAGGTATATATTTAACTAGCAACCTGATTATTTATGGTAATAGAAGTTTAGACAGCAAACTACATATTTAGTTTGAAACTGTGATATTTGCAAATGAATGAAAATGAACCACAGTTTGTTTTATTTACTATAAAAGGCTGAATAAACCAAACTGTTGCTGCTAACAACTGTAAGTTTCAAACGGCGGACAGAAAGCCAGAGATGATGTCAGGGATGATGTCAGAGATGATGTCAGGGATGATGTCAGAGATGATGTCAGAGATGATGTCAGAGATGATGTCAGAGATGATGTCAGAGATGATTAAGGAGGATTCAGGTTGAGCAACAGGTAAACAGCTCTTCAGGTAAATCTGCGGCTCGTTTCCAGGTGAGTCTGAGGATGAAAACATTTTAATCTTCCCTCTGGAACAACCTGAGCAGGAAGACGGTCAGTTCTAGAAACAGTCCGGCGTTCCCGTCTCAGCCTGATTGTTTCCATGGGAGCGTTTCTGCTGGAGCGACAGGAGGCGCCGGCACATCCCATTATCAGCTCAGGATTAGCTGGACCAGGACAGCGCCATGACACGCAGCCATGACACGGCACTGTCCCGCCTCAAAGACAGCCGCGCAGGCGTACATCCTGACGGGACGTCTGGATGAGAGCCGGGGACGGACGCAGGTCAGAGGTCGTCTCTGGGGTTCAGGCTGGGGCTGAGCTGCTCACAGCAAATATGATCAATAACCGAGAGAGCAGCTGCAGATGATCTGTGACGGAGGCTAATCCTGATTAGCTCTGACACAAAGAGCAGCAGGACAAGGACAAGACAAAGACACAGAGGACAAAGACGTCCATGTCATCTCATAGCTTTACTGTGATGTTTGATGCTTTCACAAAACTATCCTGGTTCATTAAGGTCACATGTCTATAGATAACAGTCTGTTTGTTCAAATATACCAGTAATAATGATGCAGAAAATGAATCTTAGAGCTCCAGCATTGCCTGAATCAGATGAAAACATCTGGTTTGGTCCATCTCTCTGTTTTCTCTCAAATCGTTCTGGCTTCCATCTTAAAGCCTCAGATTATTTTCTGCACATTTTCTCATCATTCCCTGCTGGCTGGAAACAAGCCTCCGGCCACCAGGTGGCAGCACTGCTGCAAATAAGCAACAGGCTGCCCATTCAAGGCAGTAGAAGAAGAAGCCGACCGACACAAAACAAAATGGCGCCAAAAAAGCAAGTGAAGCTAATACAATGTTAGGGTCAGGCTAAGATATTTCATGACAAAAATACTAATAATCGCAGGCTTTAGTCACAAAGATGTAAGATTGAATGAGGAAAAACTTTGATGGTTATGAAGATGTGACTCAGCAAATCCATGTGTTTTTTCTTCCAGATAGAATCTGTTGTTGCTCAGAGTCCTGGCCTTCATAAACAGCTGATCTCCACTCAACAGTTTGAATTTAAAAGTTTTTCCCATTTAAATCTGCATATTATTTTCCTGCAGCAGCAGCGCCCTCTTGTGGTGAAAAGTTGAATCAGGAACAGAAAGAAGCCAAGAAGACGTCTTCATCTTTCAGCTGCGATTTTATTGTGAAACCTCAGATGTCGTCCAGCGAGTCCACAGGCCGTTCAGAACATGACCTGCATGCACTAACGTTGTTACCGCTGCAGAAAAACTACTAAATAAAAGCCCCAAAAGGGGCTGTCTGTCTTCATAGCAAGAAACGATTCCTGTTCTCTCACAGCTTCTCTCTTCTCTTAAACGTTTCCCTGGTCTTGATCCAGACACAAACTGATTGTTTCATTGGGACTTTATGGGACGAACCTCTGAGAAGCAGGAAAATGATTCGTGGTTTTTATTCCTTTCCTCTGAAATCTTAAATCAGAGCTGTGTGCCACTTAAAGGGGCAGCATCATGAAAAACCGACAGCTTTTAGGTTTCTCCCTGCAGTGTTGCTCTGGCTCAAATGTCATGTTTTAAAAATCCTTTAGTCTCCATGGTAACCATTCAGCTGCAAAATACCTGAGTGGACCTAGCCCCGCCTTCAAGGCGCAGCTCCTCCCCTTTCAGCTCCTTCAGACTAGCAGCACGAGCAAACAGCAGGTGGCACTGCTGAGCTGCTGCTCAGAGCAGCGCAGGTAAAGAGGAGCCATGTTGGGATGAGTTCCTGGAGGCGGAGCTTCAGGAAGAGCAGGAGCTTTTAAAGAGACAGAGGCCCAATTTCAAGGCGTTAAATCAGGAAATGTAGAGCATTATTATAACAACAGAACGTAACACAGTTAGTCGATTGTGACATGGCACTCTATGGCTGGACAACATATGATCCAACTGGAACGGTTCTGGTTCTGGTCTCAGAGGTTCCTTTGTATCAACCTTCCAGACTCTCAGGTTCTGGTTCTGGTTCTGATCTGCATCCCCAGAACCAGAACCAAGAGAGGAGAAGCAGCTTTCAGCATCTATGCACCAAAAATCTGGAACAAACTTCCAGAAAACTGTAAACCAGCAGAAACCCTGACTTCCTTTAAATCTCAACTAAAAACCTGATTAGAGTTTTATTAGAAATGTGGAACAATGTATTAGCAACTGGACCCGGTTCCGGTTTTCCTCACCAGGCGTCTCTGCGCTGCAGGAGCCCAGCGGAACCAGGCAGACCGACATGATGATGATGATGAAGGAACTTTGTCCATCGGACAGAGAGCGCTTCCTCTTCCTCCGCAGGCCGTCCGGATTCCGAACTCTGCAGTTCTGTTCTGAAGTTGGACCGCAGAACGGTTCGGAGCCTTCGCCCGGTCCAATCCAGGGATGAGTTGCAGCAGGATTCACATACCCGAACTGAACAGAGTCCAGAGGAACCGGATCCTGGAAAGTAGAACAGTTTCACCGCGTAGAAGTGGACCTGAAAGATCAGAACCAGTCAGAACCCATCCGAGGTTCTGCTCCCACCGCCGGGTCACATTTCAACATCTAAAGCTGTAGAAACGACGGAAATACCCGAATAAAGTCGATCCGTGATTTCAGAGCAGGTCATTACGTCACATAATAAAGAACCAGTTCTTTATTTAAACTGCGTGGAACCCTCACCGGCCACTTTATTAGGTACACCTGGTCATCGTTAAACCCGACATCTCCATCCCTTCACCGAGGCGGTTCTGGTTCTGATGGGTCTTCCATCAGAACCAGAACCATTCTTTATTCCCAAATAAATGTCAATGTGAACAAACTGAAAGCAAAGATCCAGTTCTGTTTATTTCATGTTCCGTAAAGCAGTGCGGTACCAACGACCCGGGATTCTGTCGGTTCTGAACCAGTTTGACCATCATCATCATCACCTCCACAGCTGCTGCTCTGTGATTGGCTGAGTCCATAGACTGTTCCAGACGGGTTCTGGTTGATCACTGAGGGTTTCAAACTGCAGGTAACCGGACCCTGAAGGGGCCTCCAAGCAGTTGAATCTGGGCCTGTTCCGAATGGAAAGAACTTTATTATTCTCTGGTAGAACGGCTTGCCATACATTCTGAAGAGAGCCGAGGCTGCCCCCTGCTGCTCTTGTTGTAGAACTGCAGCTGCACAAACATTACTAAAAACCTGCAAGTTTATTTCCAACCTTATTCTTTACCACTTTAATATTTTGTAGGTTATTAATCAGATTTCTGTTGGTAAAATTAAAGTGTTTTGACTGTCATGACGGCTTTAACAGCGTTGATCGGTTCCTCCGTCACAACAGATTTAATACGTTTATTTTGGGGGTTTCTGCATCATAAACATAATAAATCTTATTTGGGTTTTCTGCATCAGTTTCTGGCTGAAATGAATCACATCTAGAACTTGAAAGCATTTTGACTTTTATAAAAAGCTACTGCGACCAGGAGAAAAACAGGAAGTGATGAAAGAGGGTTTATTGGAGCTTCCTGCCGTTCAGGGGCCCTCGGGTTCAGGGGCCCTCGGGTTCAGGGGCCCTCGGGTTCAGGGGCCCTCGGGTTCAGGGGCCTCGGGTTCAGGGGCCCTCGGGTTCAGGGGCCCGCCTCCTGCCAGCCTTGGCGACGATGATGAGGAGGGTGAGGAAGAAGCCCAGCGTCCAGACTGCGGCCACAGGAAGAACCGCCGCCGTCAGAACATCTGGAACAGAGCAGACATGAAGAACAGAACCTGGAGATGATGACAGACGAGGAGCAGCAACTCACTGGACTCGGGCCGGTCCGGAACCTCGACCAGGATCGGACCGTAGACAGCAGACCACGGCTGGGAAGCGGCCTGACGGCTTCCCGCTTGCTGATGGCACCACAGCTCTGAGGAGAAAATCTTTGTAAGTCCTGGGAGGACCAGAGAAACCGGGTCGGGTCGGAACAGGGCTCACCGGCAGGCAGGACGGCTGGTCGTCTCGCTCGCACAGCTGCACGCTGCAGTGCAGGTAAAACTCTGAGGGTCCGGCTGAGAAGCGGAACATCTGGAAGCGGAACCGGATCCCGGAGCTCCGCCCGTTGGGCCCGGCCCGCCCATCAGCCAGCGGGAGGAAGGTCACGGTGGGGTCGGCCACGCAGCTGAGGAAGAGGAGGAGGAAGTGTGAGGAGCTGCTTCCTTCAGCACAGAGAGGAACGGAACCGGTTCTGACCCGTTCTGGACCAGGCTGTGAAGCGGTCCGGTGGCGTTGGGCCGCGGGGACCGGCTGGCCCAGCAGTCATCGACCCGGAGCAGGAAGAAGTCTGCAGGCTCGGCCACGGAGACCTCCACGTGCACCTGCAACATGAGATGCCGGGGTCAAAGGTCAACACAGATAACGTGCTGGATTCACAATACGGCGAGTTGGATTCATCTCAAAGCTGCAGCAGGACATAAACGATGTGCATTAAAACCGTTAAGAGCGTCGCTGGTGTTGAGCTCCAGAAACATTTCAACAGTCTCTGCATTTTATTTCTACACTGCAGCTGCAGAAACATCACCAAATTTAGTGACTATTAACATCTTTGTTTTCACTGCAAGCAAAATAAACCGATTCAAACCCAAAAATAATGTGACTTGCTTATTACTGCGTTTCTGCTGTCGCATCCCTTTAACTCGCTCTGACATGCGCAGCAGAATCTGGCGACATAAATCAGATATGATGAATTCAGGTCCAACTTCTACAGTCACTTAGCGAAGAAGACCGGAACGCTCTGGACCTGATGCTAGCAAAGCTAAAGCTAGCTGCTCAGGGACAAACTGTACAAAACGCAGAGACTCACTACGCTGACTGACAGGTTGCATTATGGGACGACGCTGTGACCAAAGCCTGACATCCAGGAACGATCCGATTCTTCTGAAGGGCTGTTTGCTCAGAACGAGGACTGGATTCTCACCGACAGCCGTTCTTTGCTCTGCTACTCTGCAGTCACTATTATTTTAAATCATTGATCTTGATTTAATCAGTGAATAAAAGAAGAAGATCAGAGCTGCAGAGCGTGCTCACGTCTCCTGTCATGTGCCACATGTTGCAGCTCTGAGCTGCTGGGCTTCATGCAGCAGGAGAGACAAAGTCAGTCGCCTTGTACTTGGTTCCTTCTTGGTCAGTGTTGATAGTTGAGCGTTTACCGTGAGTCCAGTACATTGATTGCTGTGTTTAATGGTGCAGACTGGTGGTTTCTGACATGGGCAGTATGGGCAACCGCCCAGGGCGTCATCTTTTCAGGGATGGCAGGAGACCTCCGAGGATTGTGGCACAAAGATGGAAGCAAAGCAGAATGAAGAGTTTGAATTGATAGTGATGCCGGTTAAATATATTTCAGCTCTAAGTGTTTAATATCTGGCTGTTTTGAATCTTTCAGATCAATTTGAGAAGCAATTCTGATCATATTTCACATCTAGTGAGTCCTGTAGTGCGGGGCGCCGGTCTTGGCTCCGGCACCAGAGATCAGTGATCAGTATGTTAGAACAAAAATCCCTAGAAATTTATTAAGTCGATTAATCAGTTATGAAAGAACATCCTGAATCGACATTTTGCATTAAGATAAAACCTTTAAGTTTTAGCTTCACATTCTGGAATAATCACATCACCTGTTTCCACCCAGTCATTAGTCAGTTAATCTAAATTAATCGGACCGGAATCGGGTCAGCTGAGTCTCCTCACCGGGTCCCGCAGCTCTATGGTCGGCGTGGCGCCGAAGGCCCGGCTGAAGCTGCTGTCGGCGAACAGCAACATCCGGATGGTGGCGTCCATCTCCTCCACCTGCATCACCATCTGGCTGATCAGCCAGGAGACCTAAATTACCGCCGGAGGTCCAAACCGTGGCGAGATGACTGAACCGGTCCGGTTTTCTCACCTGGAGATGGGCCGGACCGGGAACGGCAGGCTGACCCTGCGAAGGTTTGGGTAGACGCAGGTGAAGTCCATCTTAATGGCCGGGTCTCTGATGATGTTCCCGCTGACCTGAGGTTCCGATCGGACCGTGAGGGAGTACAGGAGGTGGGTCGAGTTCTTCTGCAACAGAAAAGAAGGAGTCGGTTTGGATCACGGGTGAGGAAGGTCTGAAGCAGTGGGACCTGGACCGGTACCTGCAGCGGATTCCCTCCACAGGCCAGGTACTTCTCCCTGGACGTCCGGAACATGAAGAACGGCGTCCCGGCGATCACCTCCCTCTGAGCCCGGCAGGCCGGGTTCGGCAGGTGCAGCGACTCCAGCGGGACCTTCAGGTAGGAGAAGAAATCCTCTGCGGCCCGGATGCTCATGAAGTCTCTGCCACACAGGACCTTGACCTGCGCGCCTGCAGGACGACGACGGCGTCACGGCGACAGAAACCCACAAAAAGTCGCAGGAAACGAGTCGGCAACTTTAAGCAAGCAGCTCAGATTGATCCAAAAGTGAAACTTCTCTCATCTGCACATTAGGTGGAGCAAACAACATAATCTGCAGGACTTTCTCTGGCGTTAAACCCAGAGCCACTGGCGGAACAAGTGAGCATCGGGCTGGGGGCGGAGCTACTGACGGGCTGGGGGCGGAGCTACTGACGGGCTGGGGGCGGAGCTACTGACGGGCTGGGGGCGGAGCTACTGACGGGCTGGGGGCGGAGCTACTGACGGGTCCTTGATACCCAACTATGATAATTTAACGTTGCAACAAAGACATGCTGCAACAGCAGAGCTCATGAGTTTCACCTCCACAGACAGAATCTGTCAATCTGACAGGAAGTGAACAAACCAAGAGAGCAGAAACATCAGGCTGCTGGTCGCTGATGATGAAACGACACAAATCAGTTCAGAACCGGATGGGTTCGGATCATTTGGACGTTTTAACTCTGGAGCGGCGAGCAGCTGCTGAAGCTCCGGTTATTGCTGACGTTGAACCAGCAGCGTTGAAGCGGGAACGCAGAGCAGCAGCTCCTGCTCCTCTGGATGTTTGACACTCAGCGCCATCGCACAACTGGATGCTCTTCACCACCGCGCAGAGAAAAGGGCTCGTAAGCCAGGCAGTCTGCAGACAGTCTGCAGCACACCCCGCCGCCGCCGCTGCTGCAGCACACACCCCCGCCGCCGCCGCTGCTGCAGCATTATCACGCCATATTTCTCCGCTTACATCAGACTCGCCATCCTTGTCCAGCTCTCAGATGTCATAAAGCGTTGGATACCTGAAGTCATATTCATATTCTGCCCCCCCCACCCCCCGGTCCAGAGGAACACACTGCAGCTGCTCAACACCGGAAAAACCAGAGAACATGTCATTTGAACATTCAACAGGTTTTCTGAACCAGCACGAGGTCCAGAACCAGCACGAGGTCCAGAACCAGCACATACTGTGTTCGCAGTTCGGGCCGTAGAGTCCCGCGGCGCAGCGGCAGCTCCTCCGGTCCGCGGACAGGACGCAGGTCCGAGGGTCGCTGCAGTTCTGCACGCTGCAGCTTCCTGCTCACACGGAGGACGGGATGAGTCCATCCGAAACGGAACCACACAAGAAAAACTTCTTCTGTCATACCTTCAACTCTGAGACACATGAAGCCGAAGAGGATCAGCTGAGGAGACAGCAGAACATTCAGCTCTTCACACCGCACAGATCAGCCGGTTCCGACGGTCCAAACACCCACCTTCAACCCGAGCGACGCCATGGTCCGGGAATCAGTAGGTTCGGTTCTGTTTCTCTGCGCTGACAGAGGATCCGGGCGCCGCTTCTCCTCCGCTCGTTTTCAGCAGCTGCAATCAGACACACCTGGTTTCACCTGCGGGCCGCGCATGCGCCGTAGACACCCCGTTAATTAGATATGATTTATTCATGCGCACTAAGAAAGAAGTAAAAATAAAAACAGTTTGAGTTCAATAAAATGAATAAAACACATTATTATAACCCCCAACAAATCAATATTTTATGATTATTTTCTACATAAAAACAACAACACAAGTTTGGACTTCATTCATTTTTTCTCTGAGCTCCACCAGAACCGGACCAGAACCGGACCAGAACCCCTCAATGTAAATACCTTGAGAAAAGATGAGATTTGGTCATAAAAACAAAGAATGATCAAAAATGTAACCAAATGGATCAGAACCAGCAACATTCACCGTCCAGCGCCGGCCCACTGGGCTCAGCTGATGGACGGAGCCAGGTGAGTTTAGCTTTTATTCTTCTCTGCAGTCTCACAGAAACATGGTTATGTAAGCTGCAGTGTGTGTGTAAGCAGATAAAGAGGCTAAAATCAGTAAAATCCATCTATCCATTATCTGTTCACCCTTGACCCCAGTAGGGTCAGGAGCTGCTGCCTCTCGTTCTGAGCGAGGGGCGGGTCACCTGGAGGTCACCTGGAGGTCACCTGGAGGTCACCTGGAGGTCACCTGGAGGTTGCCAGACTGTCGCAGACTCAGTAACATATTAAAAATAAATAATAAGTTGAGTTTATTTCGATTTTTTTAAAGATATGTTCAACTAATCCAGATGAGCTTCAACGTTTCTGCAAGAGTGGTGTAGTCAAAGCTCAGATGAATGGAAACGCCGTTTTCAGGTCAGACAGGAAAGCTGCAGGGAAGAGACTAAAGTGGGTCAGAAATAGCTGCAGGTCAGAACCAGAACCATCTGCTATCTGGGTCAGAACCAGAACCATCTGCTGGTACTGGGTGGAGCTGCAGTCTAAACCGGTCCAGTTAAGCAGAACCAGAGGTTCGGTTGAAAGTTGGTGAATTTCTGTGCACCGTTTCTAAAATGAACAGCAATAATTTTCTTTACCTTTCATAAAGGAAAATTAGTTTTGTTCATAAATATCCAACATCCTCTGGCTTCAAACTAAATACTGAACATTCAAATTCAGTATCTAGTCAGGAATTTAAATATTTCATTTAAAAGCGAAATATTATGATGTCATTTCTCCCTCTGAACCAGAACTGAACCAGAACTGAACCAGAACCGAACCAAAACCGAACCAGAACCCAGCCGCCTCCTCTGTTCCTGGAGAGTCTCAGTGTTAGAGCGCCTCATGCTGGCCAGGTCGTGTAACTGCAACACGTTGGGTCTTCGTGGGTTTGGATGAAAACATTTTCACAGAAAACTTCACGTCACGAGGAACTTAAAAACAGACAAAACGTGGAGAAAGTGTCAAACTGTCAGGTTTCACCTGAAAGCCGACTGGACGGCGGCGGCCGCAGGTGGCCCGCGAGCCGCGGGTTGAGCCCCTGGGTGACGTGTGAGTGACGTGTGACGCGCGGCGGCCCTGGTGTTGAGAAATGGCCGGATTCTGGCGGCGCGGCCATCGGCCTGATTCACAACACCAGCTGCAGCAGCACGTCCGGAGGTTCGGCTGACGGTCCGGTTCCGATGCGCCTGCAGCGGACAGAACTGCAGGGAGGATGATGAGGACGAAGGTCTGGACGGGTTCTGATGGAGCCATCGGTTCTGGCTGCCGGTTCTGCTTCCTGTTGAAATGATTTCTGATCTGGTTGTTCATGAAATATTTCTGCCTTTCTTCCCTCAAGCCCCGAACCGGAACCGGAACCATCTGCCAACTTGTCCTCAGGCATTCTGGAGGATTTACTGTCAAAAACAAAACCATGAGGAGAAATGATGATCTGAAGGTTTTTCTCCCTTTTTCAGTGAACTGATGACGTTATTAAATTATCAGCCAATCAGCAACCAGATCTAAATCTGCTGCTTGGATCCAGAAAAATGATTTGATTAGCCAGCAGTTGATGAGATGGCCCTAAAGCATCTGTGGATTGGGTCCGAGGAGGATTCAGGGTCAGGATGTTTCGTCTGTCCAAAGCGGACGAGTCCAACAGAACCGGGCCCCTTCTGCACACTTAGAACTGATTTCAGACGAAGAAAATAAAACATCAACATCTGGAACATGTTCATTCAGTCCCTCATTTCTGACCCTGAACGCATCCTGTCACTTTCTTCTTCCACTCAACTTTCCATGAATTCACTTGGATGCAAAAATGATAATGGAGAGAACTGAACAGGCCTGCTTTGTCATCCTTATGATCATTATAACTAGAAGTTGGATTTGGGGTTTTAATTGCTGGAAGCTGGAAAATAAACTTCTGAAATATTTTTGCTCCATCTGGACTGAAACTTTTTCTGTGGAAAAACTGGAAGAAATGAATTTTGTACCTCAGTCTGAGGCAGTAAGATGTTTTAGTTATGGAGGACAAACAACAGCAAACACGAGGAAAGTGACCAAATGCCAAACAAAACAGGGACAACTGAAGAGCTTTTATTTTGAAGGTACAAACAAAAGAAAAAAACCTGACAGGAAGTGGAAAAAATGAGGCATCAGAAAACAGAAGGTGGGGAGGTTCTGGTTCTGGTTCTGCCGGCTCAGTTCATCAGCAGCTCCATCTGGACCAGCCTGGCGTTGGTGTCTCCGGCCATGTTGTAGGGAATCGTCCCGGCGAAGGTGATGAGCGCTCGGGCCTGAAGGCGCAGCTGCTGTTTGATCAACGAACCAATCGGATCAATTTTATCTCTTAATGTTTTCTGGGACCAAATAAGCTTTTATTCTGAAAGCGTCGACAGCATTTCCTCTCACCGTGCCTCGGTCCTCCACAGTTCTGGGTGAGCGGCCCGGTGTGCCCGCTGGCGCCCCCTTCAGGCGTTTGTACTGGGTAAACAAGATGTTCATGGTGGCCAGCAGGACTTCAGACAGGTTGTGACGCACCTGAGGTCAGAAAGGTCAAACTGTTTATTGATCGACTGACAGAATAAAATCTGTTCAGCCAAGATGGAACCGAGTCAGCAGATTTGGTGATTAACGTGAGAAACATGAAGAGTTTTGTTTCGGGGGGTTTAAGTCGACCCACCAGCTGGAGGATAAAACTATGAACCATTTAAATCTGCAGAGCCGACCAGAACGTCCAACCCATCCGCCATGATTCTGAGCCAGATTGTCTGTCGCCCCCTGTTGGCCTGCCTCTGCTGTGCAGGAAATCGACCTCCACCAGGGATTCATCGGTGGGCGGAGCCAGAAAGAAGCCCCTCCCACCCAAAGAGAAAAGCCCCGCCCACCTCATCGCTGAAGTTCCTGAAGGCCGCCACTCGTTCTTCCACGCTGTCCTGGCTCAGAGGAAGCAGCTTCAGACGCTCCATCACCTGCAGGCAGACAGATGGACGTTAACACTGGCAGACCTCTGGGCTCTGGGGTCAGAGGTCATTTCACTCACGTCGTAGGCTCGGTCCACGTGACCCGCGTGGTACTCATCGAAGAAGGTCATGAGGTCCAGCAGCAGGTAGAAGGTGCTGTTGACGGACTTCTCAGCAGCTGTGCCCTGAGAACGATACCTGCACCGGGAGCAGAATGTCGGCGTGGAAACGAGGTCAAGGGTCAAACCAGCGCCTTAGATGATGCCAGTGTTGCCATGGTTACCTGTCGGCGATCACCACAGCCGTGTTCTTCAGCCTCTCCTTGTTGGACTGGGGAGCGCCGACCTGAGCGACGACCGGACTCAGCAACCTGTTCATCAGCTCCAGAACCTTATCTGGGTTCTGCGAGGCGTACAGTCAGCAGAACCGTGTCAGCAGGTCCAGATGACCCGATGCAAACGGGCTCTGTGGTTCTGCTCACCTTGGCCAGCTCGTACAGCCTCACCGCCTCCTCAAACAGACCCTTGTTCTCGGCCTCCACCGCCACTTTGCTGATGATGGTTCTGGTGTCGCCTGCAAACTTATCGATGATGCCGGGCTGCAGAGGAGAGCACGCAGTCAGAACCTGCAGCTCAGGCCAAACGGGTCGGAGCCGTCTCAACGTCGTCAGGAAGCAGCAGAGCTTCAGCATCCTGAAGGCGAGGAAGAGGAGGACGAGGAAGAGGAGGACGTCTTACCTTCCTGCTGCCGTCTTTCTCCAGCTTCCCCAGCAGCATGTCAAACTGCAGGACGAAACACAAAGACCAGAACCTCAGAAACATTTCATCACATTTAAGAAGCGCTGATCTGTCCTGATCTGGTTACTAAAACCATCTTCTATTTCATGTGTTAATGTTTGTCAGCAATCGGCTGGTCAGCCTGTTCTGGGATCGATTGCTAATGCCTCCGTCCTCCTCTGGGGGTCGGGTTGGCATCTCCGCTCACAGGATTTGTCAAATAAAAAATGCTTTGGTTCTGTGCTGTCAGAACCTGCAGAAGCTCAGGATAGGAAGCTTCCTGATCCGAGTCGCTCACCTCTCGACTCTCGATGACCAGCTCACTGACGCAGCGCATGAACATGTTTTCCCCCTGGCTGTCCTTCTCGTTGCTGCAGGACAGATGGACAGCGGCGGTTAGAGACGGAGGCTCACCCAGCAGCAGAGGCGCGACGGAGGACGTACCGCAGGAAGTAGAAGTACTGCAGGGCCTCCCGCGGGTCGGTGGACTCAAACTTGCGCGTGTAGAGCATCAGCAGGCGGATGAAGTTGAGGCGGCGGACCATGGCGGGTCTCCAGGCTCCTGGCTCACTGCAGGGACACGGAGACGCTGTGACCACGATCCCCGCAGCGCGGATCGCCGCAGTAGCAGAAAAACGACTCACGCAGCTGGGCGCTCTGACCCGACGACTTCAGCAGCAGCCGCAGCTCGTACAGCACCAGGGCCACGTGCACGGCGTGGCTGCGCAGCCGCTCCACCCGGAACAGGAAGGCCACCGCCGCCTCGAACTGAGCCGTCAGGAACAACACCTGGAAGTACAGGAACGGCTGCTGGCTGGCCGAGAAATGGGACTCTCCTATTGGACGAGAAGACGGGAAGGCAGAGACGTTAGCGGCGCGGCTGGAAGGTCAACGGCTCCAAGATGGAGGGACAAGATCATCCAGGATAAAAATAAACTTCCTCTGGAGTCAGAGAGCTGGATTCTCTTTTAAATACTGAATAAAAGATCATCAGTAAATATGGAGACACAACCAAAAGGTCCAAGACTGTGGTCTGCCAGATGAGATGCTGTCTCAAGTCAAAGGTCAGAGGTCATTCTGGAATGAGCCTGAAGAAAGGAGTCCTTCTTGTGGAAAGCAGAAAATCGTGTCTGAGGTGTCAGAGGTCACCAGGACATGACTTCATAAATAATGATGGCTGCAGTTTCCTAAACGCCACATCAAGTCCTTCAGCAGAAACTAGAAACGCTGAGCTGAGGCTCATCAGGTCATCGGGTCATCAGGTCATCGGGTCATCAGGTCATCGGGTCATTG